ATTAAATGAGATTATACATCGTATCAAAAAGCTTAAATTTTAGAGAAGTAGGTGTAATTTGACGAATTGATGATATCTCATATGGTCTAGCAATTAGAATCAAATAATTTTTATACCATTCAATTCGTCTTAATGAGACGAATCGAATTGTACAAAAATTACCTGATTTTGATCACTGGATCACAAGATAGTATAAAAATATGCTGCACGAAATAATCCTTGAAGGCAATTTTGACGAAGTATAAACTTAGCAAATAATTGATGATATCTTGTGTTCTGGTGATCAGAATCGGATGAGCTTTATACTATTCGATTCGTCTTATCAAGACGAATCGAATGGTATAAAAATTATTCAATTTCAATCACTAAAACACAAGATATTCAGATTCGTCAAATTATTTCTCTTCTCAAATTACCTCTTTCTATCTTATATACTAATTAGTTAATATTATTTATTTCTAAATTAGTATATTTATAACTAAATAGATTTAACTAATTAAATATTTTGTAGACAAGTAGCAAAAAATAGTCTATAGTAGCAAATATATAAAGACATATATTATAAATATAATGATCTAATTAAACAATATTCTAAGATTAATATCAATCTCTTTATATTATTCTAGTTGATAAAATTTTTTAAATAGCTTTTACTTTAATATACTAATTAGATAATTATAAGAGTAAAAACTAGTTTATCTAGTAATATATAATTTTTAAAAGCTTTATACAAACTTATAATAGTAATATTAAAATAAGCAAAATTAGTTTTGTCTGTTTTTTATTATATTGTTATTTTTTTCTTTTTTTATTTTTATATTTTTAATATAATCCTCTATACTTTTATATTTTTTTAGTTTTGTTTTATTTTACTTTCTTATTTTGCTTCTTGATATAACAATATAGCTGCTAGCTGATAAACAATAAGAAAAAAGTTTTTAGTAAGTTAAAGGTCTAGAAAGATAATAAATGCTACTAAGACAAATCATATTTGGTGTATAAAAAAGCTTTTGTTTTAAATATATCTATTATAATTTAGAAATAAAATTTTTGTAATTTTTGAATCAACTTGGTTCTATAATAGACAAGAATAAAATAGTCAAATTAGAAAATACAACTATTATCAAATATATACAATCTGTTATAAATACTATATTGTATAAAACTTATATAAAAAAATAACAAAACAATATATCTTTTAGACTTAACTGCAATACAACAACTATATACACAATAACTATTTGAAACACAACACAATACAGAATATTGTATATCTATAGTTGTTTTGTAGTCTACTGTCCAATAATATAATGACAATATTTTCATTACTTTTAATTAGTAACCAAAGACAGGTTTAAACACTCAGTTTTTTGTATTTCGTTTTTTTTTGTGTTTTTTTTCGCTTTGCTCATGTGTCAGGCTGATCCGGGATAATCACATTTTAAGTTCTCCGATTGGCTAATTTCCCTTTTTGGATTTATATCACTCGCACAAATAAGTGCACGCTTGCATGAATGCTCCATGATCTCCTAATCTTGTTGGTGCCACCAAGGTTACAAAGATCCCGTTTCAACTGATTGTAGCCATTGTACAAGCAGAATATTTGAAATTTCGCCGTCGGTGGGTTTTGAACCCCCCACCTGCAAACATGCCGCTTGGGTGCGACAACTTAACCACTTCACTAAGTCGCCACACCCGGAAATTTTTGTTAAGCACTGTATAGTGACCTTAGTTATATGTAAAGTTAAAATTTTTTAAAGCAATACATATTGCGCAACTTCACTATAATAAACAAACTGTTTTAAACTACATATCATATAAATTTGATACAAATTAATTAAGATGTTAAAAAGTTTTATCAGAAGTATTTTTTTATTTACTATGTAAAAATCCAATATACCACGTAGATCATATAAAAATGATCTACATTTACCCTTAAATAATTTGATACTCAATTTCATGATAAAAAGTTTAATATTCAGCATAAATACTGCTTTTCATAAATATCCTAAAGGAGTCGGACAGTATTCAGATACTTTGGTACATAAATAATTAGCATTGCACTATATATGACACATCCTGTGTTAGATAACGTTCGGTTGTATTCATCCTAAGCTAAATCATTTTATGAAATTTATTCACTTAGTTGATTTATTAGAGACGTTTACTATAGATTCAATAGCTGTCGTTGAGAATCTATCAAGATCACTCAAAATGCTATCTATTGTAGGACGTTTTTCTGGCTCCGAAGACCAACATCTCATATAAAGATTTGCGTATTCTTGTGGTTTACCAGGAATCATCTTTTCACGATCACCACGAAAAATTCTTACAGCAATGGCATAATTATGCGTTGAATCTGAAAATGGGAATGTTCCACTTGTAAGTTCCCACAGCAACACACCCAGACTATAAATGTCAGATCGTTCATCACGCTTGACCTTTGTTCCATATTGCATAATGCATTGTGGTTCAATATATGCAGGCAGACCGTTCAAACAAGAAGTTGACGAACAATCTTCAATATGCTTCGATATTCCGAAATCAGCGATTAGAGGTTTACCATCATTCATTAGAATATTTTTAGAGTGCTAGTGAGATTGTTTTAGTGCAATAATGTAGCTTAGAATTTGTTAAAGTAATCAGTCTTTGATTTATAATTTAAAAGTTTCGTACCAAGTCTCGATGAATAATTCCATTTTCATGTATATATTTTAATCCGCGCGTTATTCCTTTGGCAATTTGTATAAGGTCTGCCCAAAATATTTCAAAACCATCTTCAGACCGTTTACTTTGCAAATAATCCCGTAAATTTCCGTCATTGGCAAATTGTAATATAATATTAAAGTTATCAGATTGTGGATCTATAACAAAGAATAAGCTTAGTAGAGCATTATTTAATTGTATTCATTTAAATGTTCTCGAACCTTTTGTCACTCCATAGAACTTAATAATGTTGGGATGATTAATATCGTAAAGAAATCTTAGCTGGAAAATATAAAATTTATTAGTTCTGATTATACGATCATGAAGAAAAACATAAAAATATTACCTCCTTAAGGAATTTTTTATACTTTTTGTCGTCCCATTTTCTTTCAATATTAACATCAAGACTTTTTAATGCACGCTTTTGTCCTCGTAAATTAACAGAGTACACCACCGCAGATCCACCTCTATCAATGAGTTGACGATTTTTAATTTGCGAATATTTAACTCTCCTGATATTATATTCTTTCAATAATCTTTCTATCTTGTCGTTAAATGTATTACATTCATCAGTGTCGCTTTTATTCTTCTGTGTTTCTTTGATAAGAGATTCAAACTTAATCTCATGAGATAAATTTATCTCTTTTGCAAACTTTCTATAAGCATTTTTAACATATTTGGGTTCTTTACGCCAGCTTTTGCTAGCTCTTGCATGTATTTCTAGTAAAGAAATATCATGGTTTAATTTGGCTATCTCTCTATTAAAAACATTTCTATAAATAGTAAAGGGATGAGGATTAGAAATTTTATTATATTTAGAATTAGTTCTGAATTTCGAAATTAAATCATCAGTAGCGATTTCTGGAGGAAATGAGGGTTTAAAATTGTCGATAGTGATTTTAGAATTAGTGTTGCTAAGTGAATTCGAAATTAAATAAAATTGGGAATATATAGAGTTCCGTTTATTGCTTCTCAGCTTCATAGTAGTTATTCTTATGTATTTATATAAGAAGCTTATTTGCTCTGGAAGTAAAAATTGAAATTTTGCAAATTTAGAAAAAAGAAAATGTGAGTATTAAACTATTAACAAAACGAGTCGTTTAATAAAATTTAATGATAATGATAGGAAACTTTAATATAAATGGTTTTATGTAATACATTTGTGTAAGACTGTATACCTTAATTTATCGTTTTGTGTTTGAGAAAAACTCCGTACGCATAAAAACCTTTTATAGAATCATTAGGCCATAAAAATATGTCATACTCAGGACCACGAGTGAATGCGACTAATTCTTGTATGAATTGTCGAAAAAACCATAAAAAATGCGATGGAACACCTACCTGTAGAAATTGCAAAAGATGTAATCTT